TTTAAAGAGCACTTTCAGTGCAAGAATAAATTTACTCTGCTTTTCACGTGCCAGGTACACATTTCCAAATTTTCCTTTCCCCAGAGGACGACCAATTTCAAAATCATCAAGAGACCACTGCCGTCTGCAAGAGGAAAGATAGTTACAAAAGCTCAATACTTGTGTGGGCTTTGACTCCCAGATTTACAATCAATAATGTTCCTGTTCAACAGACACTTAAGTGATCTGAGCTAGATTTTAGTCTTTAAGAGAACAACACCAAGAGGATAGAATTGAGACTTTTCAAAAGAAAGTTCTGAAAGCTAGTCTCTTCCTTCCTAAAACTTATGCACAGAGATACTAACATCAACCACACTACTACAAAGCAAAAACTCTGTATACCAGGCCAGGCTCATTTCAATACACTTAATACGGATGTACTTACTAGCGCATGTCAGAACTGCACTGTTTAAGGTAACCATACTACAAACCGAACTTCATCCTCCGGCCTCTCACACATATGAAGGAGGCTTTGTTTTCACATGTACATCTTGTGATTGGAGCAGTGGCTATCAGTGTTCTCTCGTGGGAAGAGCTATTACTCATTTATCCAGAAGTTTTTAGATTACAGGAAGTCCTTGTTCCTGAGAATTATCAGGTCGAAGTAAACTTGCCTAGAGTTTCATATGTTGTCTCTGAAGTGTAGGGCCACTCATCTCCACAACCGAGGGGCTCAAGTAGCCTTCAGCTTAGCTGCAACTTAGTTGCAGCATAAAGTCCTAGAAGTTAAAAACAAGCCTAATCCAACAGGACTCAGTTAGCTAAAACAATTTAGGCATGCAACTTACTTTTTAGTCTCTTCATTTTTCTTTTTAGTAGTCTCTTCATTTTTCTGTTTAGAGGTGCTTTCTGCTTCAGAATTTTTTGCTACATATAGAGAAGTAGATCAGCTTTATGAACCAGACTCATGAACACAATAGAAACATTCACATGGGAGCAAATCTAACCTTCGTGCAGAATCTGCAACAGTTCTTAGAATACATTCAATGACATTTTAAACCTAGTGTAGCTTACTATTGGCAAAGCAGTATAGCAGTTATTAGTGCTATCAAAGTGTAATTTTAAAAGCTTTCTTAAAATCAAGAAAACCCCACTAAGCTCCCCCCCCCCCCAAAGAATACACTATTATTGTGTATAGGAGATTAACTTGAATACTGGAAAAAACTGTGATGTGTGAATGCCAATTACATTAGTTCATAGCTGACCAGTGAGCATCTGGAAATTTTTCAACACCCATATTGGCTCTAAATGAGTAATCCTGGCAACAAGGGTAGCGCAGTAACATCTAAGCTGCAGTATGTGCTGCTATTCTGTTTCTGGGCACAACCACATACTTCTCTACAGGACTGTTTCACATCATCATCAGCTTTAAGTTTTCTGCATTGCACTCTGCTTCATAGAACAGAAGCATCCCAAGCGTCACAACTGTATAAATACGTGTACGTGATCTTCAGAATTACCAGGTACTGGAGCCTGTTGAGGTTTTTCATTGCTCTTGCTTGGAACCTGAGGCCTAGCAGTCAGTTGGACCAGAAAATTTGGTCGGGGCTGCTGCGTTGTCTGGTTATTAGACAGTTTTTGGTTTGACAGTACAGATTTTTGTGATTGCACAGGAACTCGCTGGGCAAAGTTTGAAGGACACAGAACACGTTGTGCTTGAACTCCACTGTTCAGTAACCGGCTCTGGGCAGAATGCTGAGACACAGGGACACGTTTCGGGCCATCCCCAATGGGATTAGCAATCTGCAAAAAGAAAAAATTATATATTAATTGTAGAATAGCATACTGTAACCTTTATGGCCCCATTCAGTAGAGCAGAAAAAACACAAAGCACATTAACAGGAAATGTTAAGGTATTCTGATATTATGTTTTAAGAATGAAAACACTCTTGAATTTCTACATTGTAGAAACCTGGTGACTACTTCTTGTCAACAGCATGCTTATTTATAGCTAGCAGAAGAACTTTTCCACACACATCTGAAGAATATCAGCCAAAGGTGGTAAGACAGCAGATCCTTACTATAAAAACATACATTGCTCCCTTTAATGCTCTTCATCCTGATACACCTTGCGCTGCAACAGGAGTTCAGCAGAACAAAGCAAGTTTATTTAGTAAGGTTCAGCTACCTACTGTTAATCTTTTGCTTCCAGTAAGGGAAGGTAGTTTAGGCTTATATTTAAGAAATTCTTATTTGTTTTAGGATAGTTTGCCTACAATTAAGTTCATATGCTAATGATTAGGCTTCTCACTTTTTTTTTTGCCTTCTAATGCAACAATTTGTATTTCTTTCTTCCCCTAGATGTTATTTAGTCTTCTGGTTCCATTCACTGAAAATAACGTATCAACAGCTCGATTAAAAAGTTTTGCTTATGCTATTCCGAAACCTTAACAAGACCTCTTTGTTTTTAAGTTAAAATAATGAGAAACTGTCTATGTTTCTATATACAAAAATATGTAGTCAGGGCGATCTTGAGTACTCCTGCACGGGCATAAGAATAGTGACATTAACACAACACTTGCTTTTGGAAGCCATATCTGGGATAAGTTGCCAACACACATTTGCACTCTCTTTAAATGATCTTAGATTATAATTAAAATATTAGGAGGATTTTCCAATTCAAGTATTAAATACAATATCAACAATTAAAAGAAGTAAGCCTCAGACACAGTTCTCTTCAGGAGAAGGCTATTGAAAGATGAAGTCAGCAATTGTTTCCTGTGCACAGAAAGCTTCGGTTCAAGACAATTTTCCCCCTTTTTGTTACTTAGCACAGTTAACAATAATTACCACAGACAATTTGAAGCCTGTAGCTATTGTGTGATCAGGAATAATACACCCACCGACCTAGTAAGTCACCTACTTTCATAGCACGACTAGGGTATCCAGAACGGTTCTCTTTCGCATTCTTGTCCATAGTGCCCGAGGAGAAGAGCCGCATATAGCTTAGCCTACGGATGAGACGTAGAGAAGAGGGGTCACTTCCACAGAAAACACCTCGCCTCGGAGCTCTTCTTCACAGACGTGCGCCCCTTCGAACGCCGGGAGGCCCCGAGGCAGGGCCGG